AGCCCCTATCTATACCTTGTGGCTAATAGCCACTGATGAACCTCTGCTCCATATGCTTATCTAATTCCCTTTTGAAGCCGTCCATGCTTGTAGCCGCCACCACTTCCTGTGGCAGTGAATTCCAAGTGTTAATCACTCTTTGGGTGAAGAAGTACTTTCTTTTATCCATTCTAACCTGACCGCTCAGCAATTTCATTGAGTGCCCACAAGTTCTTGTATTGTGAGAAAGGGAGAAAGGGAGAAAAGTACCTCTTTCTCTACCTGCTCTATCCCATGCATAATCTTATAAACCTCAATCATGTCACCCCTCAGTCGTTGTTTCTCCAAGCTAAAGAACCCTAAGCGCTTTAACCTTTCCTCATAGGGAAAGTGTTCCAGCCCTTTTATCATTCTAGTTGCCCTTTTCTGCACTTTTTCCAAAGCTATAATACCCTTTTTAAGGTGTGGTGACCAGAACTGCACACAGTATTCCAAATGAGGTCGCACCATTGATTTATATAGGGGCATTATGATATTGGTTGATCTGTTTTCAATACCCTTCCTAATAATCCCCAGCATAGCATTGGCCTTTTTTATTGCAGTCACACACTGTCTCAACATTTTCAGTGAGTTATCTACTACAACTCCAAGATCTCTCTCTTGATCAGTCTCTTCCAGTTCAGACCCCATCGATGTGTATTTATATTTAGGATTTTTGGCTCCAATGTGTATCACCTTGCACTTGGCCACATTGAACCCCATTTGCCATGTTGACGCCCACGTGCCCATCCCTGACAGATCCCTTTGGAGTGCCTCACAATCCTCTTTGGTTTTCACCATCCTGAACAACTTCGTATCATCCGCAAATTTAGCCACTTCACTGCTTACTCCCAACTCCAAATCATTAATGAACAAGTTAAAAAGCAGTGGACCAAGTACTAATCCCTGCGGTACCCCACTGCTTACCACCCTCCACTGAGAAAATTGCCCATTTATACTTGCTCTCTGTTTTCTACTAATTAGCCAGTTTTGGATCTACAAAAGGACTTTTCCTTTTATCCCATGATTTTTGAGCTTACTTAGGAGCCTTTGATGAGGAACTTTATCAATAGCTTTCTGGAAGTCAAGGTAAACAATATCTATTGGGTCCCCCTTGTCCACATGTTTGTTCACCCCCTCAAAGAACACTAACAGGTTAGTGAGACAGATCCCACTTCATACCATCCTATAGCGCTCCTTAACAACAATGCCAAAATATTCTCAGCAATATTAGCAAATCGTCTTAAGACAATTGCTCCAGAAATTATAGCCTCAGATCAGACAGGATTTATTCCTAATCGACAAATTATGGATAACATTTGAAGAACCCTAAATATAATTCAACATGGGAAAACATCACAAAAACAAACATTAATTCTGACCCTGGATTTTGAAAAGGCCTTTGATTCTATTGAAATTCCATACGTAATGGCTCTTCTGCATAAAATGGGCTTTGGAAACAATTTTCTATCAGCTCTTAGAAATATATATAAACAACCAAAATCAAGAGTAAGAGTAAACGGCATGAATTCATCTTTCTTCTACCCCTCCCGAGGTACTAGACAAGGGTGCCCACTATCACCGCTGATTTTTGCTATAGCAATTGAACCTCTGGCAGAAGAACTACGCAGAAATAAAGCATTTAAGGGAATCACAGTAAATGCAGCAGGGCACAAAATTACAATGTATGCGGACGATATGACTTTATATGTATCAGAACCTATGATGTCACTACCAGTCATCTCAAGCATCATCGACAACTTTGGAAGTATTTCGGGCCTTCAGCTGAATACATCAAAATCTGAAATATTTCCTATTGTGATGTCCAAGGAACGAAGGGAAAAGATACAACAGATCTTTAAATATAAATGGATTGAATCTGGGGGTACAGATACCAAGAAACCTAAATAAACTGGCAGAATGTAACTTCAACAGAATGCATAAAGATATTCAAGGGAAAATAAGAGATTGGAATAACCACAAACTGTCATTAGCAGATCGCCTGCAATTAATTCAGAGTTTTTTGTTTCCTTGTTTTCTGTTTTTATTTTGAGCATTACCAATATATGTATCTGATGGAGACTTAAACAAATGGAAACGCGCTCTCTCAATTTTTTTATGGAATTCTACTAAATGTAGGATAGATCGGAGAAATCTGAGCAGACCAGTGACTATAGGAGGATTATGTTTACCCTCATTATATCATTATTATCAAGCAACTGCGTTAACAACGGTGGTTCAAATATTACAAAATACATTGGGTGCGAACTGGATGCATATAGAGCAATCATACTCCAGCCCATTTACAAGAAATCGTTTGGATGCCTGAGACACAATGATCTAAATCCATAGAACAAAATAAATTTCTGGCAGCAAAGCTTAAAATATGGGACCGGGGAAAAAAGATGCTAGCTCCTAACATCTCCCCTTTCACTACTTACACTCAACAATCCTGGTTCCCTTCAGGAATGGAAAGAGGTGCTTTTGCAGCTTGGACATTAAATGGCTTTCAGCAAATACAAGATTTTTTTGAAAAGGGGGAAGTTCACTCAAAGAGATACTTTGAAGAAAAAATAAACTCTACAATATCGTGGCTCAGATGTTAGCAATTAAAAAGTATGATAGAAGGGTTAAAGGATACGGGGAGTCTCACACGGCCCAAAACCAACTTTGAAAAAATCATCAACAAGTCTTCGAACAGTTCAAAGGGACTTCTTTCAATGATGTACAAGATTTTATTTGATCTAGAAAAAGAACAAAACATGTCTTACAAAACTTCCTGGGAAAAGGATCTTTAAAGGGAAATAACACCCCAACAATGGCTATCTATTTGGGGATCCAAAGCAAATAATTCAAGGATTTTTAATATTAGACTGCAATTTTTTAAAATGTTCACAAGGTGGTACCTTTCTCCTGTTCGACTAAAACATATGCACCCGAGCTACAATTCGATATGCTGGAAAGGATGTGGAGAAAATAGTGATTTATATCACTGCTGGTGGTCCTGCTCCGAGATACAATCTTTCTGGGAACAGATACTGGAGGAAACCAACAAAATAACAGGTCAAAACATCCCACTAGAACTGGCTATTCTATTATTAAACTCAACAATCACAAAAGGTGATCAAGAAATATATATATCAGATCTCAATTCTACATTATTGACTACGGCAAGACTGACTATAGCAGCCTCATGGAAATCTCCCAAACCTCCTACCATTCAGAATTGCTGAAATAAATGTTGGGATCATTTTATAATGGACAATATTGCAGATAAATATGAAGGGCAAACGAGTAGTCATATAGGACCTCATACCAAATTTGTGCACAGGTGGTTCCCTTTGATCACATAGTTTGTGGGAAAGGATCTACTACCATCAAACCGTAACTATTTGGAATGGATACATTTTTGATTCACAGCTGTTTAGTCTGAGCTCTCATCATATAAGTATTAGATGTGAAAAGTAGATTAGACTGAGTATAAGGCTAGTTATGTGCAATGTACAGATACTGAGTTGAAATTGATTGAAAACACAATGTACTATATCTTTCAGTATGCATGTTTGTATTGTTTTAATTAAATAAAATTTGGAAAACCAAAAAAAAAAAAAATAGGCTGAGCCACTCTCTCATGGTCTATGAATCTGAAAGTGCTCTACGTCTGTGCTTGGGGTTCCCATACTTCAGGATTCGTATGCTGGGAGCCATATTAAAGCTACTTACACCTTCCTTAGAGAGTTGCATTGGAAGTCTATCTGCAGTTTCAGTTTGTTATGTTCCCTGGAATTCTCATCCTACAAGTGGAAAGATCTGAATGTTTTGCTACCAATAGCAGTAGTTGGAATAGAGTTGCTAGTAGTCACCCAGAAAATTGGTTTACTTTGAATGCATGAAGTTGCAGCATACTTGATCAGACCATTGGTTCATCAAGGTCAGTATTTGTCTACTCGGACTGGCAGCATCTTTCCAGGTTCCCTAACAGAAGTCTTCACATCACCTACTACATGGTTTTTTCACCTGGAGATGCCAGAGATTGAACTTGGGATCTTCTGCATGCAAAGCAGATACTCTACTGCTGAGCCCATTCCCAAAATGTAGCATAATGTTACAGATTATAGGATGGTTTTAGGCACAAAAGTGTGCCCATTTGTCTCTTGTGTGTTTCTTGCACTCAAATGTACTTAATATTTCTGCTTCTCTTTTTTGTCTCATAATTACTGACAGCTCAATATTCGCCTTTTTCTAATTACACTTCTAGAACACCCCATCAACCTCTCCCTCCCTGGTGGTCAGCGCTATGATGTGTCCTGAAGAGGAATTTGTTCAGAACAATGCTTTCAGGCTAAGAATCAACCCCTCCCCACAGCAATATATACCTTGCATTTTCCCTCTAATATTTTCCTCTGCCTTCAAGAAGGAAATTACTCTAGGAAGATTCTCCGTAGACTTTTCCACAATTGTGAGCTCCCTCAGCATCACTTAATATTCTCTGCTCAACTTTTTTAATGATGTGCCTATTTTTGCTATCTATACAATAATGTCTCTTTCAGTGCAATGGCTTCTGTTTTGTTTACATCTGTTGTTGTTTACATCTGTTCCCTTCTAATTTCTAGATGGCCCCCAAAACAATTGTTCATTTTCAGCCAGTGGCCTCCTTCCCATTTCTAATGAGCACCTTGAACAATCCATACCCTACCTGCTTATCACAGATTTTTAATTCTGTTATCATTTGTGTAGTTTTCTTTCTTTCTTTCTTTCTTTCTTTCTTTCTTTCTTTCTCTCTCTCTCTCTCTCTCTCTCTCTCTCTCTCTCTCTCTCTCTCTCTCTCTCTCTTTCTGAATTTCACACATTATTTTTGATGCTGGGAGAAGGAAGAAGTTCTATTAAAAGCTTCCCATAAACGTTTTTCATCAGCATTGTACATTATTTGGACATATATCACTAAAAGTACAAATTTTGTAACTCATCCTGTTCAATTTCAGACTGTAGGACAAGAGGACAATTCAACGCATTTTCTTATCATTTCCGAGGAAGACGTTCTCTGGATTATAGTTTTCGTGAAGATAAGCCTTCAAAGCATGTGAAAATGTCAAAAGTACCAAGGTAGACTTTTTTAAAAAATGGCAGTTGTGATATGTGAATGAAATATAGTGAGGTGCTGTGGCTCTGTGATAGATCATCAGTTTTGCATGCAAAAGGTACCAGGATCAATCCCCAGCATTTCTAGTTAAAAGACTGGGTAGCAGATGATGTGAAAGACCTCTGTCTGAGACGCTGGTAGCCAATTACTGGACTTTTCCAAAGCACTTAAAGACTGGTTTTGATTGATAAAGCAATTTTAGGCTGCAATCACACACAGCCTTAGTGTATGTGCTGCCAAATGCCTAATAAAGGTACTGAATGAATGAATGAATGATAAATCCCTTAACAGCTTAGGAACAGGGTCAGTGAAGGACTACCTGCTGCATTATAAATGTGCCCCTCAGGCCTTGCTTCAGTTGCTACCACCTATTGATGTTAGGCAGGCGTTAAATAGAGGCATGGCCTTTCAGGTAGTACTCTGTTTAAGAAATAGCTTCCCCAGACATATTCATATGATATTAATTCTTGTAGGTGCCACACTTAAATATTTTTGTTCTCCAAGGCTTAAGTGGTTGGTTTGGTTTTTAGGGTTTCATAGCTGGATTAAATAGTGATCTTTTATAAAGGGTTGTTACAAAAGAAACAGAAAAAAGACTAACAGAAAAACAAAATATGTTACAAATAAATAAATAAATACATAGGAAAGCAAACTAGCATTCACACCTGAAATTGTATCTTGCCCTGCAGGGGAAAAATAAACAGTCCCCTCTGTGTTTTTTTGTAGAAGTGGCAAATAGCAGCTTTGATGCAGGGGAAAGAATCAGTAGCATTCTCCTTTTAGATCAAGGATGCATGTATGAATACATCCAGGAGGAAGAGGAGAGGCATTTGGGAAAGGATGCCAGTGCTGTCATTTTCCCAGAGCAAAGGTGCATGAATGTCAATGCCTTGTTCCCATAAAAGTCAAACAGAAGCTGCTGCAGTAGTTTTAAAGGGAAGGGTAAGAAAGGGGTTACCACAGCACTGGAGTGAAGGGTGGTGAGCTACTTTTAATTGTTTGGAGAGTGACCTTCTGCCCATTCCTGATCTAGATGACATTCCTGTACTACTTGTTGTGCTTCCCTCCTCCGTCTCCTTGCTTTTTTTCATTTTGAGAATGCATATGGTTAAATGTTTTAGTATGTTGAAGGCTGCGGTTTCAATGTTTTGGTTGACAGAGGATGGCTATGGCTTGGCTATGGGAGCCTGGTGAGTGGGATAGATACTTTAAAATGTAGTGTGCTTTGGGAGGCTGTAACTGTCTCTGCTTTGTAAAATAGCTTAAAGTTTGCAAAATTTGCGATATGTTATCATATTTGGAATAAAACCAGTGGAAACATTTGCTATTAAGTAAAAACTATGATCCAGACATCCACCAAGTCTTTAATCTTCATTTGTTTGAATTAGTCATTAGTATATGCTTGCTTCCTGTGACAGGATGAAAGGTGCAAAAGAAGGCATGGAGTTTTTTTTTTAAATGCATATGTCTTGCAGCATGAGGTGATAAGAGGTCAGTTTCCTAACCAGTTAGTTAGATTTTTCACAAAAAACAATTAAAATATTGAATATATTGTGATTTATAATGTTCCATCAGTTGCAGAGATTCAAAGTCAAATTTTTACATTTGTTTTCAATTATTTTAATTTTTTTCTTGATCTTGGAAGGCCCTTTTATCCTTTCTTATCAGTACCCATGGCAGGAAGAAAAGAATAAATCATTTATTTAAAAATGGGTCCTAATATACTAAAATATAACACTAACGTTTAAGTCTATGTATAGTCGGCATAATTCAAAGCTGGTTTCTACCCCTAAAACCCTAAACACCTTCAGGCCAGGATACCTAAAGGACGGCCTCCCCCCAGTACTGTCCATCCTGCCAGTCAACATACTCTTCCCAAGTGATGCTCTCTGTACTCCCACCTGGACTAGTGAGGTGAGTGGTGGCCACACACCAGGCTTTTTAGCAGCCATACTAGACAATATGGCCTTCCCAAAGCTGCTGCTGCCATTTTACCCCTGGAATTCTCTGACCTTACAAATGCTGTAGAGGCTTGATCCTGCTCAGGACTGCAGCATGTCGGAGGGGAGGGCTCCTGTCTCCCCCCTCTGCACTGCCATCTCAAGCAGCCATAGGGCTCCACTGCATTTGTAAAGTGGAAAATTGGTGTCAGCAGCCCCTGGGGATGGCATATCATCTAGTTTGGTCCTACGTGGTAGCACCATGCCTTTGGAATGTGCCATGAGGCTTGCCTGGCCTATACTATTGTTTAGATGCCTGGTGAAAACCTTTCTTTTTAACCAGCTTTTAAACTGAAGGGTTCTATCTTATTTAGCTGTTCTTATCATCCACTTGTTAACTGACAACTGTTTTATGAATAGGGTTGCCATCCCCTTGGTGGGGCCATGGGATCCCCCGATTTTGGGGGGCCAATCTACCGCCAACCAGATGGCTGGCTGTGCAGGCCTCACCCCCAAACAGCACTGTCCTGGTAGTGACATCATCACGCTGGGGCCGTCGTGTGGCAATGCTCTAGCATTCGAGGGGAAACTCCATGGTTACCAGGAGAGGAGCCAGGAGCCCCCCACCGGATAAACAGTGAGACCTGGCAACCCAATTTATGAATATCATTTTAGGCTGCTGAATGTTGTGTTATGCTGTTTTTATGCCCCTGTATTATGGCTTGGCTTATCATTTATAATTATTTTTGTATTTTTACTAGCAATAAGGCCCATTGCAGAAAGAAATGAAACGAGCTCTAGAAAGAGGGCCTGGGAGAGTGCTCTGGCCTGCAGCCATCGCCCGTGTCCCCCCTCCCGAGCACCATGGCTAGACCACCACTGCTGTGGGCGGCCCTCTCCTCCACCTCGGCTGTCCCCCCATGCTCCAACTCTGGCTGCACGGCTTTCCCCGCCCCGCTCTGACTCGCAGCCATTGTAAACAGGCAATGGAGCCGGCTCTGACTCTTAGCCATTGTAAACAGGCAATGGAGCCGGCATGTGAGGCAGAGCCAGCTCGAGCAGCCGGAGCCAGGGAGGAGAGGTGAGCGGCTGGGGTGACGGCGGCATGAGGGGGGAACCGGCTGCTGCTCGCTGGGTCCTTTCCATGTATAGGGTGCGCGAGGAATGGAGGGGGCCGTGGGAGAGGACCGAGGACCCCCATCCCCAACGCTGCACGTGAGCCGGAGGGAAGGAGGCCCCAGCCATCCCCAGCCCCACGAAGAGTCCCGTCAACTCCAAGCACACTGAGCCGGAGATGCTGGCCGCCACTTCTGTGGGTGGGACTCCGCAACCCAGGCAGCCAACACAGCCAGCACCTTCTGAGTGGCAGTTCAGGCAGCCAACTAATTTTGGCGTGCATAGAACTTTGCCACTCGAAAATGGAATTATACATAAAGAGAGATTATAAGCATACAAATACTAAAAAAACAGAAAACAATCCATTTCATGAAGCTTTAAAGACATGATATTTTTATTATTACATTGTCTTTAAATTGTGAGCTGCATTGAGCAGGGGCAGTATATTCATTTTATACAAAAAATAATGTCTAATGCAAACTTTACGGTTATGAAAGAATTACTGCGGCATCAGCACTTGATTCAAAGCATCTATCAGGGAAACATAGCTTTTATCTAGTCTTTTATTTATTTTTTTATTTATTTTGCGATTTTTATCCCGCCCTATCCAGTAGCTCAGGGCGGCTTGCTACAGTGATAATTTGTACAAAAATTATTTAATTTAGTTTCTTGTTTGACACACAAGTCTGCCATCAAAATTTTTTGGCACTGTGTTTTCTTTCCTTGCCGTTCCACTTAACACCCCCCACTGAGAATAAAATTACTTTAAGATTTGGGACTAGCTCAGTGTTTAAATTCCCTTTCACTGGCCTGGGCATGATATTCTTTTCTAGAAATTAAGACCTGAACTACAACACAAACTGATATAATTTTAGACTAAACTCTTCATTAAAAACAAATGTGGATGCTCATAGAAAAGAAGGCAAAAGTAATTTTAAAACAGTGAAAGTCATGGGAGATTAAAAAGTGAATACCAAGCATGGTCAAGGCTTACGTGTTCTTTCTGTGTTTCAGGCCTTTTGACCATGACTCCAGCTTCTCTTCCCTAGTTTTCAGTCACTTCAACCAAGCATATTTCATGCAGGGTTAATGAAGTACATGTGTGGGGAAGGGAGAACTCCCTGCTCCCCATCTTTATCATCTCAAATGTTCAGGACTGGAGAAAAAGAAATTAATGCCCGTCTCCCTGGCATTATACATCAATCCTCTGAGGCATGGTTTATGAAAAGCCAATCTGAGTGGTTCATGCTAGTAGGATTTCCCATTTCCTATGTAATTAAGGCTGTAGGAAGAAAAATTTTCAGGCATACCCTACCTTAGGCTGGGGAAATGTTGCTCCATTGGAGGAAAATATTACTTATGGTTAATTTAACCAGAAATTGTGAAATTCCTTTAGAGTAATTCCAAGACAGGGTGAAAAGGGGCAGTGGATGGAAAAGGGAAGAACTAGGCTCTGTATCATGATGGGAGAAAAACTAAGCCACATACATTTAGGCTGCTTTGCTGGTTCTTAAAATGGAGTTTGAGGTGTTTGAAAATGAAAGCCAGAATGTCAATCTGAACAATGTAAATTGTCATAGCCAATAAAATTGATTGATATGCTAACAGCTACCAATTCCTACATCTCTGCAACCACAATTTTATATTCAGAGTCTTAATCCACAAGTATTGTTACTGATTCTATTTCCCCTTTCCCCCAGATCCATGTTCATGGAAATGTCTTCATGACTGTGAGATTGGGTTAGAACATAAGAACATAAGAGAAGACAGTTCCCTTCCTAATAATCCCCAGGATACCATTTGCATCTTTTTTATTGCCATCACACGCTGAGTGTCCAGTGTGTTCCACTAATCTGTCCTCTTTCATGTAGGTGCCATGGGCTCATGACTCATAGTAATTCAGAATGCTCCTGCTGGTCTCAGTTGTCATGGTAGAAGTTGATGGGTATGCCTCAGGTTTGCGGGAACTCAGGTGGTCTGCACTGCTGCAGAAGAGCATTGGGGAGGATCATTCAACAATTTCTCTCCATACTACTGCCACCATCCCACATGGCTTTTGTACATGCAGGTCTCATGACTCTCAGCATAGCCTTTTCTCATGGCCAAAGAGGACCTCTCTTACCTTTTTCACCAGCAGAAAAACTAGTTTGAGCCAATCCATTGAATCAGCAAAGTGGGGTTCACAGATTACACCTTTATATACAACATCCTTCCTCTCAAGAACCCTGTCACATTTGGAGCTGTGTTATTATCAGGTATTCTTAATTCTGCACAAATCTACACCCCTCCAGTAGCACAGAAGTGTATGTATTTGGGGATTGGATGTGCACAGTGTGCATGTATCATGAGGACATAGAACCAGATGTTATTCTACAGTTTACCTACCATCGTGAAAAACCTCCTGTCAGCTATGGAGCAAGTCCATTGTCCTTATAATATTGACATAGGCATCAATTATCTATTTAACAGTGAATGTTTTCACAAAATTAACCTTTTCTGCCCCTTTTTATTTTATTGTCCTCAAAACCACTACCATGCTGTGAGATAAGCTAGGCTTGAGAGATGGTCACTTAAGGCAAAGCAGTGAGATTCATGGCTGTGGAAAGATCTGAATTTGCTGTTCCTAGTCTAAACTATGCCCTCACCTGAATAGCCCAGGCTAACCTGAGCTCATCAGATCACAGACGCTAAGCAGTGTCAGCCTTGCCCAGTATTTGGATGGGAGACCTCCAAGGAATACCAGGATTGTGATGCAGATGCTGGCAATGACAAACCAGCTCTCAACATCTCTTGCCTCAAAAACCCTAAGGGGTCATTATAAATCAGCTGTGACTTGACAGCAAAATAATAGTAATAATAAACGTCTAAACTATAGCCACTACGCCATGCTGGCTCTCCTGTGTGGCTGTCTAGCATAGCAAGACTGAACCACTCTGTCTTTAAAATTCCCAGTTTCATGGCAAACACAAGCCAAGCTGTGTTTTTTGTAGGTCATCCTGTGTGCTGGCAACATACATTATTCAACGTTCTCTCTAAGCTGAGTTAGTGTGAGCTAGCTCACAGTTTTTTAGCATCCAGCTCACACATTTTTTCTTCGCTCAGGAAGGATGGCTCCAGAGCAAACTAATTTATACAGTAGCCAAATTGCTCGCTCACAACTTTAAAGTCAGTAGCTCACAAAGTAGAATCTTTGCTTACAAGACTCCACAGCTTAGAGGGAGTATTGCTTATGGTTTCTAAAAATCTTTTTGGATCCACATTTTTAAGTAGACCTGGAATGCTTAATATGTTGCTTTTTTTCTCGTTGCAGTTCTGCAAGAGAGAATGTACTTTTTAATAACACCGTTTCATCTTTTGATGAGCGTAAAAAAGCAGCGGTAATGAATGACTTCAAAGAATTTGTTGGAGATATGCAAAAGACTATCACAGACCTCCGAAGACAGGTAAGTATTAAATAACTCTTGATTTAATGTTGGCATGGAGTAGAATTTTTTAAAAAAATACTATCAAGCTGGTAGGTTTTGTGTTTATTATATTAAGCACTTCATAATAATTTTTGCATTGTTCTGCTTTGTATTTAAATGGTTTATTGCTACCATATTCACTACTTGAAGATTTAGTTTTGCATGTTTTGAAGTGATACACCAATATAACAATATAAACACTACTGTTTGATTATGCTAACTTCACAAGATTTCATTGAGGTGGACACTATGTAGTTTCAGTTACTTTGAGGTAACCTTTAGTTAATGAGGCTGTTTGCCCAAAGCACTCAGAGGCACATAGTCTCCCTTGTCCCTGAACTACCCAGAAGAAACTGAGAATACAGCATGTGAAGGAGGTCCTTCCTTCCTTCCTTCTCAGATTGAGCTGAAAAGGCTGCTAGAGGAGCAGGAGGAGAAAGGAGCATGTGATTTAAGTCCTTCCTTCCTTCCTTCCTTCCTTCCTTCCTTCCTTCTTTCTCAGATTGAGCTGAAAAGGCTGCTAGAGGAGCAGGAGTAGAAAGGAGCATGTGATTTAAGCAGAACAATACTTTACACCTCTGCTTCCAGCATTCTGGCTAGGCTTAAGGCTGGCCTATGTTACATGGCAGATCCATAACTGGATCTTTTTCAGTCAGTTGCAGCTGGGAAAGTCTGCCAGTTTGTTCAGAGATTCAAACAAGGGAAGAGAATATTTCCACTACATACCATTTTCCCTGTGTATTTCCTTCCATCACTACAGAGTATACAAGGCAAAGAGGGAATTCATTTATTTATTAAACTTATACCTTGCCCTCCCAGCAATAGCCGGTTCAGGGTGGCTTCCAAAATTTTAAAACAACAATAAATAATATACTAATCATAAAATCACAAAACAATAAAACAGTACAGTATTAAAAGGTGCTAATTTAATTATGATCAGGGAAATTGTTTGTGGAAAGTGTTAAGTGCCCCTAACCACTGCTCCTTGCAAACTGGGAACCCTCTACAGTTTCAGTAAAACATTAAAATCAATCCTTTTGAAAGAAGGTAAAAACTAAGACCTGCACTTAGTTAGGAATCTGTATGTGTGCAAACAAATAACCAAAAGACTCTGTCACGCTGTACAAATCACACTTAAGACTACTGTCTTCTTATACAGTTCTACTTACAACCATTAATGATACACATAACAAATAGTTTTGCCACCATGCATAAGTTACATCTATACCAGTTGAATAGTGACCTAATAGTCCTTGAAAGTACAAGTCTGTCTTCCTTTTAAAGTACAGGCCTCTTCAGAATGATGTGGTCACCGGCTCATGGTGCAGAGAAGAGTTTCCAAAAGAAAACATGTAGTAGATGGCATGAGCTCAAGACTAGCTGTAGCGCAAACCAAAGGGCAGAGATACCATGCCTAGGTTGCTTTGCCATTTCTTAGGGCTTCATCAGGCCGCTTTTCTTAGTGATGGAGCTCAACCCAGCTCTGGCAAGATTCAAAATGACATGAAGTCTACAGGTATGTTCCAAATAGCTAGGAATCAGGCTCAACTGGTGTAGATGTCATTTATGCATGGTGGCAAAACCATTTGTTATGTGCAGGGCTCTTTTCGTAGCAGGAACTCCTTTGCATATTAGGCGACACACCCCTAATGTAGCCAATCCTCCAAGAGCTTACAGGGCTCTTCTTACAGGGGCTACTGTAAGCTCTGGGAGGATTGGCTACATTAGGGGGGGTGTCGCCTAATATGAAAAGGAGCTCCTGCTATGTGTATCATACTTATGTGTATCATTAATGGTTGTAAGTAGAACTGTATGAGAAGACAGTAGTCTCAAGTGTGATTTGTACAGCGTGACAGCGTATTCTGGTTATTTGTTTGCACAACTGCATTTGCTGTATTTCCATTTTTGTGTGGTTGTTAGGAATTTGTATGTGGCATATATTCACTGTGGCTTCAGTCCACCAGAGAATTCCAGCATGTGCAAGAGGGTGATTTTCACCAATTCCCCCTTTCCATGGGAGATCTCTGACATCCTCCTTCATGCTGTTTCAAAGGGCCCCTGTATCCTAGGAACAGAATTCTGTGGGGCCTTTTAGACTGCAATTTAAAGGGGCACCTCGGCCCGATTTAATACCTGCAAAACTATTCAAAATTGACCCAGATTTTAGCCGCTTTTTTCACTGAAATAAACAAGACGGGGAATATACCTGAAGTCTGGCGTTGTTCCAATTTATAAAAAGAGGGACCTGATGGACCCGATGAATTACCATCCTGTAAGCTTGCTATCCGCTATAGGAAAACTTTACACTGTAATACTTCTTTTTTTTTTTAATCCCCCGAAGGGTAGCTTTATTGATTTTTTATTACACCTACGTGACTACAAAAAGGAAAAGAGAGAAAGAAGAAAAAAAAAGGAGAAAAAAGGGGAGGGGAAAAAAAATAACAAACTAAAATAACAAACCCCAGGATACAGACAGTATAAAGAAAGAAAACCCACACTATAACTAAAAACCCAAGGAAGTAGGGTCATTAACAGTCAGTATGCTGTTAGTTATAAAAATTAATGCTTTCATTAAGTCAAGGAATTTAGGAGATTAGTTAGTCCATTTTGGTATATATCTAATTTCTTCTCAGTATGCACATAGACTTCTTCCAGTTCATCCATAAATCTTTTTAGTTCATAAGTGCTATTTGGCAACTCTTAGCCGCAAGTCGTATGCTTCTCTGGCCGTGCCTCCTTCTGCTCCAAGTAGGTCTCTGTCCGTCTCTTCCAGGTCGGCTGCCTGGCCTCCTCCGTCTTGCTGCTCTTCCTCTTTCTGTCCGAAGAATTGCTTCAACCATTCTTCTGCTTTTAACACCGAGTCGATTTTTTCTCTTTTGTCTCTATATTTGAATTGGACCCCTTCTGGAAAAAGCCAGGAGTATTGAATTTGGTTGATCTGAAGTGTTGAGATGAGTTCTTTGTACGCTTTTCTTTTCTGTCGAACCTCAAATGGAACGTCCTTAAGGACCCTGATACTTGCTGATCCCATTTGCAGGGGTTTGTCTGCTGTTGCTTTGAGAATATCATCTCTTGTCTGTCGTCGGAGAAATTTGACCACGATCTCGCCCGGCAGTTTGTTTTGCTTAATATATTTAGAGTAAGAACGATATGTCACTTCTATCTCTGCATGCGCTTCAGCCGTTGCAATGCCGAGCGATAGAGCGATTAGCTCAGCTGCCACATCTTTCAAAATTTCTCCTGTCGTCTCAGCCACCCCTTGGAATCTAAGGGTTTTATTCGCTTTGTCCATTTGTAGGTTCAATAGCTTCCTTTCGTGTAGATCCTGCTTTTGTTCCATCAGACCAACTCTTTTCTTCAGCTTTTTAGCATCATGTGTGGTCTCTTTAAGTTTTTCATCAGTTTGGATCGATTTTTTCACAAGCTCGGTGATCTGCTGTTGCTGTTTTGCCATGCTCTGGTTTGAGGCAGCAATCAATTGGTTAAGGCCATCGAGTCTTTCATGAATGGGCCGAAGCAGCTCTGTTAGTGTGGAGAAAACATCTCCTTCCTCCACTCTCGGACTTTGAGAACCACGCCCCCCTCTTACTCCTCTCCCTCGGACGCCGGCCATTTTCCGCTTTGTTTATACTAAAGAGTGCTTTTTCACACTTCTTCAGCAAGTGCTGGTTTATCCGCAAAAAACAGCTAAGTCTCTGGCACGCTTGAGTGATTAATTGTCTTCTCCCCCTCCCCGTCTCTTTAAATCACAGTTCGGTTTGTTTACGTCTGGGATTCCTCCCGACGCCGCTGAGGGTGGGGGGGGGATCGGAACTCACTTTTAAAGCTTCTTCGCTCGTCTCATTCTCCAGTTCCTTGACAGTCTGATCACAGACTCCTTTTAATCATGCTTCATTCGCTGACCCGCTTGCTTGTCCCGATCGGCATTCAGCTATGCTCGGTAAAAACCGAGCCTCTCAGGGGGTGGACCGAATGGGGCAAAGAGGAGCGCCTCAATTCTCTGGCTTAAAGCCGTTGAAGAGGTCGCCCTTCCAGCGCCCCCGGCTTGGAGCCCCTCACTGAGGCTCACCTGGGGGTGCCACTTGAGGTGACATCCCTCCAACACCCCTGGAGCGCGGAATGCCTCCCCCGTTCAGGAGAGAGCCTCCGCCATCACTGAAGCCACAGACCGGAAGTCTACACTGTAATACTTCTTGAAAAGTTGGAATCTTGGGTTGAAGGAAATAACATTTTGGGAAATGAACAGACTGGCTTTAGAAAAGGAACAAGTACCATTGACCATTGGTTGATAAATACACAAGTTCTGGAGAAGGCATGTTGGCAACTTCCTTCATGGATCTAAAATCAGCGTTTGATACGGTCTCTAGACCCTGGCTATGGGAAAAGATGAAGAAATATGGCATTGAACCACATTTCCTTTACTTAACCTCAACACAGCACGATCGAGTGGAGCTGCAGAGCCTGCTCCAGCAGCCACTCGAATTGCACGGTGTGGGGGAGTTTGGTTTATCCAAACTCCTAGGGGGGGCAAACTGGTTTATCCAAACTCCTAGGGGGGCCTCAGGAGAGAGGTCTCTGAAGCAGGAGAATCAATGAAGTACCAGATTCTAGCAGCAGCTGGGTATTGGAGTCTTTTGTCCGTCTCGATGCCCCCACCAAGCAATTGCCATATTGGCTTCCAAGCTGTGTCTGCCGGACTTTGTGAGAATTGAAACTAAGCTTATTTCTACAAATAAATCACTTTCTACAGCAAATACAAATACAAGAAGACATCTAACAAGTAAGATCCTTTTTCTTAGCACGTATATGAAATAGAACTGTGGAATTCAATCAGACTGCGAAAAACTTCAGGAAGGAAGGAAGGAAGGAAGGAAGGAAGGAAGGAAGGAAGGGGAGGGGGAGCGTTCATATAGTTTTTCCTCCCCCCCCACTTCTGGAGCGGGTCTCAAGCTAAAGGAAACAACATCAAAAGGATTATA